GCTCCCATAAGTAGATTACTAAAGTCTAATCATAACTTCATTAGCAATCTGATTTACTAAGGTCACACAAAAAACAGCCACAGATGATGATGTCAAAAGTTCCATCTTACAGACTGGCTTAACTGTTCCATTACAATACAGCACTATGTAAATATAATGTAATCATCAGTGTACCTTGGAAATGAAAGCAAAATATATCTACAACACAATCTGGGGTAAAATTGCCTTAAAGTACAAATATGAAGACCTGCTATGAGGTGGTACCCAGTAGATAACTCTGCCCACAGTCAGAAGTTCAGTTTTATAGTCCCTCAAAGCAATACTTGGATGCATTTTTATACCACCCTGACTATATGCAAAGCTCTCAAGGTAAATGTGATAAGCAACTTAAGCTTCATGCTTTTACTCCCGTAACCAGGAGAAATACTGGAGGTTACACAACTGTTTCTAAAAGACAAATAAGGAAGTTCAGAACCTCATCTGAAGTTTGGAGTAAGGCATCTCAATTTATCAGATTAGTGTTTCAGAAAGAGTTGGGGCAGGAAATAAGACTCCTCACCACTGGATGGCAAAAATCCATATAATCACAGGGAACAAATGAAAGGAAATGTGAGACAGAACAGAAGAAAAAGGCAAGGAAGGAACAGATTGTCTACAACAGATAATACTGACATTCTTTAAGAAGAGATGGCAACAGTAACGTGATACAAGGCACCAGTTCCCAGAGATTTGGGCAGACCCCAACACAGTGGAATGGCTTTTTTACAGGAACCTGACTCGAAGGCATATTCTCCCAAGGAAACAATAGGTGAGAAGATATTTTCATACACTGCAATGACTGATTTGAGAGCTGACAAGACAGAAGGCTGAGAAGTTGTAAGGATTAATGAGGCAGGAAAGATTTCTGGCATTGCACAGGGAAGACCCTAAATCTGCAGGTCCTTGGGGCCACACAGTAACTATGCAAATTATCTACCAGCACCTGAGTGAATGCTCAGTTCAGCCATGTTCATTACAAAAAATATATATAACAAAAAACCCTCCAAAACACATAAATAGAAAAAAATAGATCCCTTTTTCTCTTTTCTCTAACTAAAAGCAGGGTGCAAGATGACAAAGAACTGCTTTTCAGCTCTCAGTTGTTTACTAAAGGAATTACTGAGATTATTCTAACTAAAATGAAAATATTCACTGCACTTGCTCAAAAAAGCTGTCATGGGCCAGCTCAATGCCTCAGTGCCTACTGTCCATGCTTAAAGTACCTTCCAGTGTCTTTTGCTGAGGAAATACGTAATAGGCAGAGTACTTGATTTTAAATGACTGTTACCAGAGCGCATAAGAATAAGTTTAGCCAGAAACACAAGTGCCAAAAGCAAATATAGTTTTATTCACTTCAGAGAGAGATCTATTTAATTCGAAGGCATATGCCTGTGTATCCACCCTACCTCATAGATCTCAATGACTCAGCACTTAGCCACAAAACCAGATGTCGTTATTTTAAACCACAACATAATGGGCTATGGCCATTACCAATAAAATGTTTGCAAATAAAGCATCTTGGAAAAATCATCTGTATACTACAGACTTCACAGGCCTCAAGACAACAGGAAACACGTGCATTTGTTTTCTGCAGCCGCCTATTTTTTGAGCACATAAAATCCAAAATTCTGATCTACTCAAAAATTAGGGAAATTTCATTCTTAATTACTGGAAGCTCCACATGACAAAACTCAGTCTTACTAATGCAGAGAAACTCATCTGGACATCAACTGCAAGAAAGGAAAGTGATCCTGGCTCAGCTTCTCCAGAACTGAAACAGCCTGAAGACAGGATCATTTCCTTACACACATAGTAAGGAGGGTGCTAGGAATGTCTTGGGATACAGGAGGCCCCATATCAAAGAGCTGATGGTCTGATGACAAGCAATTAATCTCTATTTCTCAGCAGGCAACATTCACTGCTTTTCACCCCACGTCTAATATGCAGGAATACATCAGCCCACCCATATTTTCATAATGGCCCTACCACCACTGAAAATCACATTTTTTGAAGGTGGAAATCTCTGAAGCAGACCCTCAGGAATGCAGGTGGCAACAAACACCATAGGTAGGGAGTTTCTGCAACGAATGCCATGCAGAAAGATTAACTCCAGTAAAGCTAGAACCCTGCAAGAGCAAGTCTGATCAGTCCTTTGAGATGCTCCCACTCTTACTATTTGGTATCTGACAGTTTTACTGCTTTTGCTGTTGATGAGTGGTTCCTGTGGGACACAGCCTGCTCTGGCATGTTAGTTACATGTCGATATCCTGCCATCTACCTGCCATTAACTGTTGCATTTCTGTGCAAAGAAGTTGCTTGCCTTGTCCAGAATAAGACATCGCATTTGCCCGCCACTTCAGTTTTCATGATCATCTGCTTTCTCACACAAACCAACACTCCTGCTTGTCCTGGGCTACATTTGCATCTCTGCACGTAAAACAAAATGAAAAATAAGAGTTACCTTGCATTAAGTCACACCTTGCCAATTAAACAGAACTCTGCAATTAGAGTAAATACTGCTGGCAGGTGGAATGAGTTTGTGTCAGAGAAAGCAAACCACCACATATAGTGTATTAAAAGGATTCACATATATGGGGGGCTTCTCATTTTTTGCCTGTGTGAACCAGAAACTTCTAAGGGACCAGCACTTACAAAGTAATTTGTTGTTGTTGCTAACGATCTCGTACTGCAGTTTCAATCTAAAACCCAAGTGACTGAGCCTCATCTGAACATATTAAGATCAAAGAAGTATCAGAATAATAAAATATATTGTAGTCATTTCTTAAGAGTATATTTCACAACCCATTGCTAAAACAGTTCATTTATAGGACAATTTTCTAAGACACAAGAGTTTGACTTCAAGCAGCTCAAAAAGATGGATTTACCATCTAAAATCAAAGTCATGTTCTCATCAGACAACACTGATCTAACACACTCAAAGATGGTATCATGTTATATTACAGTCCTCTTGCCACCTGCTACCAGTTGTGTCTAACCTATGTTAGGAAACTTTTGCAAGACAAAGATTGCATTGGACAGTTCTCAAGTATTCTTTCAGAGGCTGATGTTCAGAAGGCAGCCTTGTTTTTAGGCATGGAATGGATGGGAACCTAGCTGAGAGTTGACTCCCTCTCATGATTGAGAGACATAACAAAGCATGTTTTTTGTCAAAGTGTATTGATAGAGTATATATGTTTATGTTCATCATGACTGTTTGTCCAAAGAGGCAGGAAAACATGAGGGTGCAGCTGTTCTGTGACCTTCATACTTGGCCGCACCAAGGCCAATGCTCTCAGCATGGACAACAGTGAGACCATGAGAAACTGCACAGTCCCATGAGTAAACAGTTACAGATGTGGCATAAAGCCAGTTGTTTTTCTAAGGGCATAAAAGCAGGACCCACTTCTGGCTGAATCCAGAGCCTCACCTATGCGTGGATGCACCACGTAGGAACTTTCCCAGTTACTCGAGACTCCCAGCATTGGCTGTAACAGGGCTTCCCAGCTTGAAGTGTGGGCCTGGATGATGATTTGGTGGTATGTGGCAATGTATTTCTTCTCAATCTCCCTCTATACAGTAATGATTTGATGCATTGCTAATTTTCCTCTGTACTTTATTAGTCAGATTTGGAACTTGAGAAGAAACCATCAAGGACTACCACAGAGTAAAGCCATGGGATGTATCAGAAGAACTGGCCAAACCTGTACAGCTGCAATGATTTGTAGTTCTCACAAGCTGAAGAAAAATGTACAGGTTGCACCAGCTCAGCAAAAGCAAGGGAAGGCTTTGTTTTAAATACAACATCCATCTACTCTAACCATTTTTTACACATCAGTGAGGCTGTCATTCCACAAGGAATAACGAAATGGTGAAAGAGGAAAGCAGCAAAGAACCTAGCTCAAGATGACCTACATAATTTACAGACAAAGACTGCTCCCAAAATTGCCCATTAAATGCAAGGTGGTTATTTTTCTTTATAAGGAAAGCAACAAGAGGAAAAGAGTGAAATGAGAAGTAAATCAGAACAATCACAGTGCTATATATTTTCATGGGAATGCGTGTTTAGCCAGAAGTACCTGATGCAGTTGAAAGTAGTGAGACTGTTTCTGACTAACAGAAATTAGTTATCAGTTCTTAGAAGCACTGAAGAAGCTGCTGCAGTTTAGGGTTCCTTTAAAGGTACATTTCTACTCAATGCACTGCAAGTCAGAACAGAACTCAAACATCAGTTACAAAGTAACAAGAGGCATAAGGTAATAAAACAGTGTTGCTGCTATAGCAGTGGCAATTTCAATAACATGTTTGGAGCTTCTAGCCTAAAAGGAATTCTCAACAAGGAACACACATGAAAACAAACATGGATGCACAAATAAGATGCAAAGGAGGATAGGGATATATGAACTGTATTAGGACTGCTGTAAACCACTGACATCTAGAGATAGGCAAGAAAAATGCAGAATAAACTGTAGCACAAAACTTTCATATGCAATAATTCCTAATTCAAGCATCACAATTTGTATCTGATTCACTACAGTTTTTTTCCTCTAGATTTTCCCTTTTGTGCTGCTTGTGATACACAAGGACCATAAACAATTTAGATGGATTAACACCGCAATGGCAGACGTCCATATCATGTGCTCAGATCATGTTTGACTAAAACATTTACACCCTTGATTATACTGCAGATTTCACATTCTCTAGCCTTTGATTCTCTATTATATATTCATGTTTGGCCACTGTTCTCCTCATGGTTCAGATCTCTAAGGCTAGTCAGTGCTATGCAATTGGATCTAACAGCTGGTATTCTGTCTGACAGCCAGTTAGTGAATGAAGCAGCCCACAATTTAGTAAGCTAGTGTAAATCAGTCTTAATGGCAATCCCCTCCATGGGCCATCTCCATGCTGCTTGGATATAATCACAGATCCCAGGAAAGACATAATTAGATTGTGCAGCTTCTTACCTGCAGCTCCTTTGAGACTCTCTCTAAGTGGTTAGTTATCTTTTTTATTAGGTCACTATACATCTGTTCCGAATGCTGCTGGCATACACACTTATAAACACAACTGCAGAAACAAATATAGGAACAAACAATGAACTTACAACAGTTTGCAATGAAGGGAAACAGACTTCAAAATATTTTGTTCAAGTCTCAATTTAGAGGATAATAAAGTTAACTGAATGAGTGGTGAACTTTTAAATACAGCCCTAAGCTTGGAATGAGCTCCAGCACACTCTTAAGTCTGACCTGGAGGCCTCAGTGTGTCCACCCCATTCCCCCTCCCCAACTCACTCTAACTTATGGTGAGTTCACTTAACAGCGCACTTCAAAACAGCCAGGATAATTCTGTCAACAGCAGACTCCTAATTCTGGCTTTTGTCTCTTCTATGTGAAGTCTCAATTAAAATAAGCAGGTTTAATGATTACATGCATATTCTAGGGTAAAACCCTTATTAAAAGAAGGGCAACAATGACAAGCAGTCAGATGCACCAAAAGTGTGCTAGTGGTTTAAAAAGAAATGGCAAAAGTTCTAAGTTACAGACCGAAGCACATTACTCCATCCTTTGATACTTAAATTCTAAGAAACTCCCACATTTTCATAATAAACAAAGACGCAGAGAAAGAGCAGCAGAACTTGAATTCTACGTTCCATGGCTTGGCTGTGTTAACTCTTGTCTTCAGTATCACCTTTTTTTTTAAAGTACATTTTATTGCTGTCACACTTCAATATAACAAATCTACAAAATAAGGCCATGTATTGAAAACACATTTACAACAGTTGTAAACCAAACACGTATATTGCTTTCAGTAGAAGTTACATTAAAGTAGTTGTCATCATCAGGACTAACACCAACATCATCTATACCAAGCAGCTTTTACTTCTCTTGAGTGCTTTCATTCTCTGAAGTCAGCATTTTAAAGCTAGCTGCCAAAATTCAATAGGCGTAAGGAAGACTTGACCCAGTATCTTGGGCAAACCAAATCACCCGCCAATTCCTCTGTCCTGCTCGCCTCTCCCTTCATCCCGTTGTATGGAATAGAATGACAGTGAGCAATTTAAACCAGAGACTGCTCCTTGGGACACGTACAAAAAATTTCCAGCAAGGTCCAGATTCCAGACTTGGATTCTGTAAGTTCTGAACAGCACTAAAAGCGTAAAGCTGCAGTACGGCCACACCATGTCTCCACAGGGGAATAATGACATTCCAATTCTCTACTGAGAAGGACAATGACAAACAAACTGCAAGGATGGGATTAAAACAACTGTAGACTATAGGCTATTGGAGTTTTCTAATGCAAGTAAGAGATCAGGCACCAACTCCAAGCCTTCAGGAGCCAAGGCAGCAGTCTCATTCAGTAACTCCCACTCTCAGACTCTTCTGGAGGAAGGTTTTAACAAGTGACTTATCAGTAACTCTTAGAAATGTGTATTTATTTCCTTTGACAAGTTCAAAAAGCCCCCAAAATACAGTGTTCATCCCTATACAAAGTCTGCTTAGTTGGCAAACCATGCTATTTCTTAAAAAACAAAAGACACCCCCCACCTCTCCTACTATTATACATTAAAAATAATTGATAAAAATAATTGAGTAGCTGTAGTTTGATGTTATTTAAATAACAAAGTTGACCTGTTTCTTTCACATGAAGTCTACCAACAGCAGATCCTAGTATGGAACAAGCAAGTGCAAGACATTTGGATATGATGCAGTAACAGCAAAAATATCAGTTTCATATGGATCAAAGAGAGGAACACTGGTAAGAAAAGCCAGACTGATTTTTGTGATTTCTTACAAACCAGCCAGCTAAGTAACAACAGCAAATGGCTGTATGTTTGCTCCATAACTAACCAGTATATATATATATATAGCCACTTCCACAAGTTCACCATACATCTGCTTAGTGTTACATACACTATTGCTATGCCTACTTCTGCGACACATTCTGTAGTCAAATACCAGTCTTCATATGAACGTGCAGAGTGTGTTTACATTTAATTTGAACACTTCTATTTAGAGGTTCCTTCCCCATTTTAAGATCCTGTTTTCAGTTCCCATTTGTGGGCTGACTCTATGAATCATCCTTGCCCTGCTATTGCCCAAAAGAAGTCACCAGCTTGTGACAGTAGAAGGTAAATATTTAGAGAGAGGGATGAGATCTGCAAGCTGCCTTGAAGAACAGAGATCTAATTGCATTGTACCTGGGAGGCAGCTAACAGTTGCCAGAAGTACAACTTAGCTGTTCACATCTTCCTCACCTCAAAGTTTCCTTCACATCTCTCTGTCAATATATTTAGCACTTCTAATAGGAAGTGACTATGCACAGGCAGGCTTTGGACTCAAAGATAAAAGCAGTCACTAATCACACTTCGCTACCTTAGGGGTAAACTGATCCATAGTAAGTATCTGCCTACACACCTTTGAAGTTATCTCCTAGCTTTCACTGCTGTGGAGTAGACACCTACAGTTATCACTGATCATGGCAAATATAGGAGTTTGGGTATCTAATAATATATTTTGAGTCTGCATTATGGAAACATTGATTCCTTTAGTCAGCACAAAGACGATCAGAAAGAGCACTGTATTTTCAGCTCAGTCTCACTGTAAAAAAAAAAATATGAGAGATGTATCTGTTTGAACCACTTCAAAACCACCCCATTTTTCAGACTACAAACTAGCCTAAGGGAACAGAGAGGATCGAAACCCTAAGTCTGCTAAAGACTCTCCAAAATACTCCAGGCAAGCATCCTCATTAAATTCAATAAAAATCAGTTCTCCTTCCCTTCTCAATCTATTTTGTGTAGATTGTCAGTCAAGGAAAGAAACAGTCTAAAAATAATTAAAAAAAAAAATAATCAATCTCCTGGTTGCAAGAGGCTGTGTCAGTGTAATTACAATCACAGACATCATTTGTACTAGAAAACTGACACAGTAGCTTTATCAGTAACACTAAACTCCAGAAAATCTTTTGTTTTGGTAAAATACATGCAACAGACATCTGCGCATCATTACAATACTGCATCAAGTGTCACCCTGATGCATAAGGGATATCTAGGAGAATTTTTTAAAACCCATTATTCCTCCAATAAATAAAACTTTTGACAAGTAAAAAGGTGAGAAGGATGAACTCCAGTTATCTTAAACCATCACCAGGTATAGATCTACTCCAGGTATTAAAACCATTAATTCTGTACACCTACTCTTTATCAGAGATGACTGTCAAGATGGCTTATTTCCTACTGATGGCTGTTGGGACATTGGGGATTTCAAGCTAGGGAAAGGACTTTGATTACTTACACTAAGGCTGCAAAATGTCTCTCAGTTCAAATTACCATCTCAATTATTTATACACATGATGATGTCTGAGTCCTTATAACAGCAGTTCCAAAAGTTTGGAGAGGAAAGAAGTTTATTAAAGATTTTAACTGGAATTAAAAGGAAGACTGAACACCTGCCATTCTTGTATCTGGTTCCCTAATCCAAAGTTTCAACCTGGAGAGCCAAAGTGGCTAAGAGCAAGTGAGCAGGAGATTGCTAGAGCTGAAAGCTTCTTAAAACAGCAATCAGTGGCTGTGATTTCATAGACTGTAACAGTGGATTAAAGAAAAACAAAGACAGCAATGCTATTAGTTATGCTGCTGGCAAGGGCCAGTAGTTTTAAGGGCATCTTGGCCAGTAAATGCAGCAGCAGCTACCCAGTTTCCATCCTATTTACCAACACGCTGGATACCTGTCACCTACAGAACAAAAATCTCTATTTTAGTCCATCTCTTAAGTAAACGCCAAGTCTCTAAAGCATTTAGCAGTTTGGTTTGGAGCAGTAATGTGGTTTTGAAGCAAACCTCCTATCATCCCCACTACTTATGCACTAGCTTAGTCTGCAGGGCAGCTCTAATGTGTGACTAGATCCCTTTAAAAGCGAAGCAAACTGCAGCTCCAGGCCAGGTTCAACTCAGTCTCCAGACAAGAATGAAGATATGAAGGACTGAACTGGTGCCAGCCCTTCAGACAGCCTCCCACTGCACATGCAGCCAGATGGCTGGGCAAGGGGGAAATCAGACCAAAAACCACAAATGACAGTTTGTATGGATGGACCTTGAAACCAGTTGCTTCTATTTACTTCTACACCTCTACTGCACCAAATCAGTTCCTATTAGACATGACAAAGAAGCCTTTTGAAACAAAGTCAAACCCCTACCATGCCAGTCTCTTCTTCCCCTTTGAGGAAAGGGATGTTGAGACTTTAATACATTTTTTAATATACTACACTAAGCAACTGTGGTGGAGATTTCTTTAATGTTAATGTTTTCAGCACTTATAAATTCTAATTGTTTAGCATTTATTCCTGTTAACACTGAATGTCAAGATATGTATCTTTTGTTCACTCATTCCAACCATTTAAATGATGATGTGCTTCACTAAACCTTCCAACTTGCCTCCTCATTAACACAAATACGACATATGCACAGACTGCAAAATAAACCACTTAATCTTTAATCTAAGAGTAACAAAGCACTTAGATTTCCTTACCTGTATATTTGTTCATAGGAGATAGGGATGTAGTCACCAGGACTCTGAGTTAGAAGCTGATCTATGGCACTGTCCAACTTTGGCCAATATGTGCTCTTATAATCTTCAATTGTTATAACATTCATTACTACAAGAAAAAGACAAAACTACATTTAGTAACTTTAGCTAAAAGAAGCAAGTAAATCTCTGCAATTTCAGATCACACCATTAAGTTGGCCAATTAAACTGGGAACCATTCACTTCCACGAAGATAACTTCATCCAAAACTGAAGCCCAGACTTGAAGCTGTACATTTTTAGTTAGAGAAAATAAAGTAAAATGAGAAAACCTGCCAAATCAGAGCTTGGGTATTTCTGAAGGGCTCAAACAGTAGGGAAAAATAAAATCCTTGGGAGCTCTAATATCACAAATATAATACTATAAAAATAAAAAATAAAAAATAGTAGTTAGTTCAAATTAATAAATTCTGCAACTTTGTAGGAGTCCAGAACCAACAACTAGCAGTGGATCCTCACATGCAAGAGAACAAGCTTGGGCCAAGTCTGGTAGTTTTTGGAATACTCCTTCCTAGCAGACGTATGAATTTTACAAGCCTCAGGTGGGACCAGCAGCTTCCTTGGCCGAAAAGCTGATGCAATTCCCTCTGCCTTCAATTGCAGTTAGGCTCCAGGGCAAATTTTTTGGATCTCCCTCTAGCAGGCACAATTAGACTCCTTTTTCAGATTAGAATCAACACAGTGAAGAATAGGAGGCATTCAAATTAGCATTCCCCATCCCTCCCTGATTTTCCTCCTGAGCTTCCCAAGTGCACCCACTTGCCAAGCCACTCCATGTGCCTTCACAGTCAGAGAAGAGTTTTAACCTCTCTCTTTTGGGGGAGGATTTCTGAACTAACCATACATAGCTCAGTTCCAACACCTTCCCTTCAGAGACTACTTGCAGGACTACCTTGCTGGCTTGTCACAGCACTGTAGGTTCACAGCACCCACTCAAAACAGAGCCCTCCATAACTAACAGCACAGTTCCTATCAGAACTATCCAGGCCAGGGAATCTGAAGTCACTTCTTCATTGCAACTCCACACATGGGCCTGGGCTATATGGAACAGAGAATAAAGACAGTTCCCATCCCAAACAATCCAGTTTAGACACCACACTGACAACAAATATTTTAACAGATCTGCATTTTAAATACATGTGTAGATGTACAATCACTGCTCAGCTTGAGGAGCAAGATTTCTGAGCTGTTGTTTTCACAAGGGGTTGAAAAGAGCAGAGTGAGTCACTTTTAGCAGCATTATTAAGAACAGTTCTAGGGAAACACAGGCAACAGTGTCATGAGAAAAAGAATATAAAGGGAACGTGGAATAAAGATAAGTATGAGAAAAGGAATTGTATGAATGCTATCTGTAAGAGCAGGTACTGTTGTGTCTTTTTAGGGTATTTCATCCAGAAACCTTGCCTAGTGAAGAATGTTAGTGCAGCACTCCTAACTCCCTCTTCACCCAGCTAGCTACTGGTTCACTCTTGCTCCATACCTGTTACAGAAACAGCTCTAGTTAACCTAATTGTCTGAGCAGTGAACTGGTCACCATTACCAAGTGCTGCAGGACACTGTCCCAGTGCTCCAACCTGTGATCTGAAAATACAACCCCATTTCCTAACAAGTTGACAAAGGTTACAGGTGTGTGTACACAACCACCAGGACATGAGTTAACATGTGCAGCAAGTCAGCTCCACAATGTAAAAGCATCCATGCAGTCAGAACAGCACAGCACCTGCCCGACAGTGAATTCACTCCTCATTCATCTGTTTCACAATGACCTGCTTGAGTTCTTATCCTTTACAGAGCTCAGGCTCGAAGCAGCTTCACATAAAGCCATAGCTTTACTATTCATGCCTCGACTCAGCAGCAAATCTGAAAAGGTGGGTTTCCACAGAAGTGCTCTGTCCCACAGAAAACATTGAAGTCTACATATTAGGCCAAGTCTTGATTTAAGATTCAATGTATAATCACACCCACATCTGGCTTAACATGTGAAATGAGCTCTATTCATTTGAAAGAAAGTAGTCAAGTAAGAATTGAGAACACTGCAAAATAATTTTTTAACAGGCTGTTCAGATAGCAATTCGGGTGTTTTACAATATGGAAAAAGAAAGCAGCAGCAGCAGAAAGGAACATCTGCCCATTTGAAGTGCTGCACAGGTAAAGAACAAAATGCTTTTACAAACAGCCCCAGGACACTTGACTAGGAAACACTGATGAGTTCAAAGTAATATTCTAGAAAAGCTTTATTTCTATTCACAAGACTCTTACAAGCAATATTTCATTTTATTTCCACACTTCAGTTATGAAACTAAGCCAACCATAATATTTATATAGTTAAACATCCAAGACTACATACTGAACAATCACTATCTGGCTCCAGGTAATCCCAAGGACAAATACAGGCTGGGGGAGACTGTATTGAGAGCAGCCCTGAGGAGAAGTACCTGTGGGTGTTGCTTGATGAGAAGCTCACCATGACCTGTCAGTGCATGCTTGCAGCCCAGAACCCCCCCGTGTGCTGGGCTGCACCCCCAGAGCATGAACAGCACGTCGAGGGAGGGGATTCTCTCCCTCTGCTGTGCTCTCACGAGACCCCCCCCTGCAGCCCTGATCCGGCTCTGGGGAACAGCACAAGAGGGACCTGGAGCTGCTGGAGAGAGGCCAGAGGAGGCCCCGGAGCTGCTGGGAGGGGTGGGGGAGCTCTTCTCTTGACACA